TTTATTCGATATGACAAAAATAACCTAAATATCAATAGGTATTTGACATCTATTTTAATCACTTAAAAAATTTACAAATGATAATATAAACATGAACTTATTTTTTTATCTTATTTATTAGTTTTGTTTTGTTTTGTTTTATTTTGTGGAGAAACAGCTATGATGCCTTTGATGAAAAAGGCTCTCATTCGTTTTTACCGAGCGCTTATTATTGCATTCCGGGCGCTAGGACTGCACTGTCCAACAACACATCTCTAGAAGCACACATGCGGTTATTTAAATTTAAATTAATTAAAATCAAATGTAAGTAAAAACTCAGTTTTGCAGTTGCACCAGCCACATTTCTTGTGCTCAGTAGCCTTTGCTCAGTCTCACCATTTTGGACGGTTCCGATAATAGAACATCAGATCATCACTGAATGTTCGACTGGACAGTGCCACACGACACATTTTGTTTCTGCTGTGCTTTAAACCAGACGCTAAGACAGTAGCAGCACTAGCCTTGGAATTCTCTCCATTAGTGCTGTAGGTACCACACTTAGCTTGACTCGGTTTGGGGTCTGCTTGGCTTCCTGGTCCTTTTTGACTATGTTTTCAGGGTTCTAGGGCTTTTCCCTTCACATACAGCAGCATCCCTCTTTTCCCATCAGGCTCACGTCTGGCCTCTCCCTCCCTGTCTCCTCTCTCCCAGGTGATCCGCCAGCTAATGAAGAAGGAATTCACCCTGGAGTTCTCCCGAGACAGAAAGTCCATGTCTGTGTATTGCTCCCCAGCCAAGTCCCGGGCCGCCGTAGGCAACAAGATGTTTGTCAAGGTCAGGAATCAGAATGTGCCCTAGCCCCTCTTCTTCCTGAGCCTGAACCCCTCTCCTATCCCTGCCCTCCCATTGTGCCCTGGAAGGAAGACAATCATCTCTGAATGCTGTTCTGGCTTGCTAGGGTGCCCCTGAGGGGGTCATCGACCGCTGTAACTACGTGCGAGTTGGCACCACACGGGTGCCCCTGACAGGGCCAGTGAAGGAGAAGATCATGTCTGTGATCAAAGAGTGGGGCACTGGCCGGGACACCCTGCGCTGCCTGGCCCTGGCCACCCGGGACACCCCCCCAAAGCGAGAGGACATGATCCTGGATGACTCTTCCAAGTTCGTGGAGTACGAGGTGAGCAGATGGAAGCCTCCCATTCCTTTGTCCTGGAGTCATCTGCCTCACCCCTTCCACCACCCTTGTCATGTCCGACACTGTCACGGGTCCCAGGATCACAGGACCTTAGAGACTGAAAGAAACTTAGGAACCATCTCGGGCTACTTTGCATGGGATCTGTGGACCTGTCCGCGATGAGGTGAGGTGCTCGCACCAGAGCAGAAATCAACTCGATGACCAAATATACTCAGGTTCAGCTGACATGTTTCCAGAGTGAGATTTTCTTGATGTAAGAAGCAGCGCCTTGACCTGCATTCTGGCACGAGGAACTTTTCTTATAATGGACTAGCTCTCTGAATAGCACCAGAGTTCACTCCCTCTGTTTTATAGAGGGGACACTGTGGCCCAACAGGTAACACAGATTTGCTCAAAATTGTAGAGGAAGTGAGTGGTCCCGAAAGTAGAAACCACCACCCTAACTTCCAGCTTGAGTTCTTTCTGTGAAAGATCTGCCACCTACGATGGGCCTGGCACCGCCAAACCTGCAGGTACACATGCAACAAGGATGCTTCCGGCCTGAGCTTACGAGGCCCTGCTGAGATTTGCCTCTCAGGTCCAGAGCAGGCTCTCCCCACAGCTCACTGACCTTTCTCCCTAGTTCCCTGCGAGCTTCCTCCCTGGCTCTTCTCCGAGTCCCTCCCTGACCCTGTTGCTCTCTGCTCTGTCTTTGCAGATGGACCTGACATTCATTGGCGTGGTGGGCATGTTGGACCCACCCCGCAAGGAGGTCACAGGCTCTATCCAACTGTGCCGTGATGCCGGAATCCGAGTGATCATGATCACTGGGGACAACAAGGGCACAGCCATTGCCATCTGCCGACGAATTGGCATCTTTGGAGAGAATGAGGAGGTGGCCGACCGAGCCTACACCGGCCGGGAGTTCGATGACCTGCCCCTGGCTGAGCAGCGGGAGGCCTGCCGTCGCGCCTGCTGCTTTGCCCGAGTGGAGCCTGCGCATAAGTCGAAGATTGTGGAGTATCTGCAGTCTTACGATGAGATCACAGCTATGGTGAGAAGACTAATGGGGCCACCCAGGCTGGGACCCATGTGGAGTCCAGTGTGGGGCAGTCTGCTTAGTGTCCATTGAGACTATCACCTTTGGGAGCTGGGGGCCCTGGTCAGATGCACAGAGGGGTGCGCGAGAAGGGCCAGGTCCCACCTTCCCTCTCCCCTCAGACCGGCGATGGTGTCAATGACGCCCCCGCTCTGAAGAAGGCCGAGATTGGCATTGCTATGGGCTCTGGCACCGCTGTGGCCAAGACCGCCTCTGAGATGGTGCTGGCCGATGACAACTTCTCCACCATCGTGGCTGCCGTGGAGGAGGGCCGGGCCATCTACAACAATATGAAGCAGTTCATCCGCTACCTCATCTCCTCCAACGTGGGCGAGGTGGTCTGGTGAGCAGCCAGGGTGGGCACCCAGAAGGAACCAGGGCTGAGGGTGGGGGGTGGCCACAGGTCTAGGAGCAGGACCGACATGCAACCACCTCTTCCGGACAGTATCTTCCTGACAGCCGCCTTGGGGCTACCTGAGGCCCTGATTCCTGTGCAACTGCTGTGGGTGAACTTGGTGACTGACGGGCTCCCAGCCACAGCTCTGGGCTTCAACCCACCAGACCTGGACATCATGGACCGGCCCCCCCGGACCCCCAAGGAGCCCCTCATCAGTGGCTGGCTCTTTTTCCGCTACATGGCAATTGGGGGTGAGCTGGATGGGACCCCCCCAATCCTTCCCAATCCTCAGGACTGACCCCCTCTCTGGGACATCAGTCCCCTCCCCGCACCCAGTGCGGCCACCCCATTGTTCCTTTTCCTCAACCAGCTGTTCATGGCCATAAGGCCCTCTGATGCCTCCCGTCTCCCTGGCCCTGACTCCCCAACCCCCATCTTCTCTCTACCACAGGCTATGTGGGTGCAGCCACTGTGGGCGCGGCTGCCTGGTGGTTCCTGTATGCGGAGGACGGGCCTCGTGTCACCTACAGCCAGCTGGTAGGGAAGGGCTGAAGAGAGGGGACAGAGCAGGGGCGGGAAGCAAGAGGATGGCTTGGAGGCGTCTGTGGGGTCCCAGTTCCTGCCCTCTCCTCCTGCAGACTCACTTCATGCAATGCACTGAAGACAACCCTGACTTTGAGGGTGTGGACTGTGAGATCTTTGAAGCTCCTGAGCCCATGACCATGGCCTTGTCCGTGCTGGTTACCATCGAAATGTGCAATGCTCTCAACAGGTGGGGCCGGCCCTCCCTCCCGCTGATGCCTGAGTCCTCTACCCTTCTCCTCACCACTCTTTCTTCTTGTGTCTCCCACTCTGGCCTCTGCCCGGCCATCCACTTGCAGCCTGTCTGAGAACCAGTCCCTTATCCGGATGCCGCCCTGGGTGAACATCTGGCTGCTGGGCTCTATCTGCCTTTCCATGTCCCTCCACTTCCTCATCCTCTACGTTGACCCTCTGCCGGTAAGCCTTCTGGCCAGGGCCACCTCCGCCTGTTCCCCACCCCACATGGAGCCTCTGTAGGGGTCTGTGACCACTGCAGCTGGAGGCACTGACAAAGGGAAGAAGGTGGGGTCAGGTTGGGGCAGTGCTGGGTCCTCTGGCTCCTGCCTACCCCCTCCTGAGAAGGACACTTGTCCTTCTCACTGCCTCTGACCGCCCCCTCCCAGATGATCTTCAAGCTTCGGGCCCTGGACTTGACCCAGTGGCTCATGGTCCTCAAGATCTCATTGCCAGTCATCGGGCTGGATGAAGTCCTCAAGTTTGTTGCTCGGAACTATCTGGAGGGTAAGACGCTCCCCTCCACTGAGCCCTGTCAGCCTCTGGGCCCTGAGCACAGCCCCCTCCATCTGCGCTGCGAAGGCGCCTGCCCCCTACCCCACTCTTCCTTTCCAGGTAGGTGTATTCTTCTTGGTCCTGGCAGGACCACTGTCCACCAGGGAGGTGCAACCAGGCCCCTTTTCCCCTCCCATCTCTGCCTGGTGCAGACACATTCTCCTTGGCAACCCCGCAACCTCCTCAGCCCTCTTGGCCCTCTAAGCCTGCCTCTTTTCCTCAATAACGGCTGTCTCTCTGTCCTCTCTGGCCATAGGATAACTCGTTTTCCCCTCCTCCATCTCTTTGAACCGTGTCACAGGTATCGCCCCCCTTCTTGCCCTTGCACCAGCTGCTGTGCCCCCCACCCAACCCCTTCTCCCCCTTGGGTGGCACCCAAGGTCACTTGTGCTCGCAGCTCCACCTGGAGCCATTGCTGCCACTGCCACTGCGGAGCTTCCGAGCTGGATGGGGGGCGCTGCTGCCCCTACTCCAGGGGCCGCACCGGCCCTGCCTCTGGGCACCACCTGTCTGCTGGGCTGCGCTGCGCTGCGCTGCGGGCGCTGGCTGGGCGCTGCGCTGCGCTGTCTGCCGCTGGGGTTGCAGTGGTGGGGAGGAGTGGGGTCCAGGGACACAGGTGAATATTGGGACGGGCAGTGGAGCGACCCTCCAGGTGAATCTGTGGGGAATGGGGACAGAGCCTGGGAGGGACTCTTCCTCTCCTCTCCTGTCCCCTGGTTCATCTCTCCCCTTCCTCCTTCCAGATCCAGAAGATGAAAGAAGGAAGTAACCAGCCCTTTTGCCCCTTCTTCCCCGATAGTGACGCATCTTCAGCCAGAGCTGTGGCACAGACCCCACGTTCTCTTTCCCCTTCTACATTCTTGTTTATAAACACGTTCCCTTCAGTCTCCTCCCCACTTCAGCAACCCACCCTCCCTTTTACCCTTGAAAAACCTCCTTTACCCCAACCCCGTGGGGCTTGCAGGGACAAGGCGACTGACTGAGCTGAGCTGCTTATTTATTGAAAATAAATGACAGAAAAGTCTGGCCTTGCCTCCATGCACATCTTTGGGCCTGGGTCCGGCCCCGGGGGACAAGCATCTTAGTGTCATGCAGTCCAGAAAGCAGCTGCCTGTCCAGGGCACACATGTGGACGGAGGCCCCCAGCCCCCACTCCCAGCTTGGCTCTGCCTCAGGGAAAGGGACGAAGGACGGGCTGGCAGTCTGGCAGTCTGGCTAGGGGGCAGGGGCAGGACGGTTGGGGCTCGGGAGGCAGCATAGCAGCCAGAAAGCCGCAGGGCTGAGCCTGCACCTTTGGTTCCAGGAGGGAGTTGGGACCCTCATCCAGTGTCACCCTTGGGAGCAGAAGGCTCAGCTACTCCTGAGAGGAGGCCCTGGAGGGACGGGGCAGTGATGGCCCTGTCCCTGAACCCCAGGCTTGGAGAGGGGGAAGACAACATCGTGAGGCCCCCAAAGCCTAGGCCTCATGGTTCTGCAGTGGAGAAAGACAGTCTCCCCAGGGGGGTGGGTTCTGGCCCCTCAGGTGTCCTTGATGTCCCTGATGTCCCTGAGGGGCGCCTCGTCCACGATGCTACGCACTTGTTCCAGACTCTCTGCCTGGCGGATCCGTTCCAGGCGCACCTATGGGGTCCAGCGAGGGAAGCAGAGGGGCCTTGGTGGGGAAGTGCAGCCCCTGCCCCATCTGCCAGCCCTCCAAGGGGCAAGGGCCAAGGACCAGTGGACCCAGGGGCCCCACCTCCCCTGACCCATGGTGAAACCAGGTTCAAGGGAAGAGGTGAGTTCTAGGGGGGCAGCCTGAGGAAGGGGACAGGGGCAGGTGCAGCTGACATGAGCACACCTCACACCCGTGTGCCAGGCCCTGGGCTAGGGGCTCGCCCTGACCAACAAAGACAGACACACGAGGGCTTTAACATTTTTGAGCAGTAACTCAGGAAAAAGGATCGTGCCAGCCCCGGAAGGAAGAGGACTCCTCTAATGGGGGACTGCCCTTGCATGACCCAGGACAAGTCACCTGGAATCATGGCAGTCTTTTGGGGAGGGGACATGCCATACCTGCAGGGCCTGGGAGAGTCTTACGAAATCCCTCTGCACCTGTTCACTGGTCTCCAGCTCGGCCTGCAGCCGTAGCACCTTTGCCCTCTGTTCTGAGAGGAGGTCTGTGAGCTGGGCCTGGGGGGACAGGACACAGGCTGAGGCCTTGGGCCAAATGGGAGGGTGTGTAGCCAGCTGGAGGGGTAGTCCATCTACACCACCCAACTCTGACCTCTCCTGTGAGATCTGAGCTTGGTGGCTGCCTTCCTGCCACCTGGCCTGAGGCAGACACAAAGGGCAGGAGGGTCCAGTTAGGACCTTCTCCACTCTGCCACCCCGTCCACGTCATCCCAGTCTGGCCTGACTTCTGCCTCACCTTGCTCTGTTCCTGCTGGATTCGCTCCATCTCCGTCCTCAGGCTGCACAGGGAGGCTGGGAAGTCAGGCAGGGGCAGGACGTCAAGCCCACGCCCTCCCTCCTTCGCCCACCGCACCCCCGCAGGGCCCCCGTGCCTACTTACCCTCTAACACTTCTGTGTGGAAAAGAAAGAAAGAAGTCAAAGCTCATTCTTGCAGTCTCCTCTCTCCCCTCCTGGTGCCCAGGAGGTCCCCTGTGGGGAGGTCACCCTCCCCAGGAGCAGGGGTGGCGGGGCTCGGCTCCCCTTCTCTCACCTGTCTCCTCCCGCTGCACCCTCAGCTGCCCCTCTAGGCTGGCCCTTGCTGCCGTCTCCTCCTCCAGCGCCTCCCGCAGGGTCACGATCTCAATCCTAAGGCGCTCGGCCTCATGCTCCCGGGCCTGCTCATGGGCCTGCACCTCCTGCCGCATGCAGCGCACCAGCTGCTGCAGCTCCTGGAAGAGATGCAAGTCACCTGCTCTGAGGGGCAGGAGGGGCGGAGGCCACAGGGGCCACCAGCAAGATGGCGATTATGGGGCAGGGAAAGGAAGGGAGGAAGGAAACTTAAAAAGGGGGAAAAACCCAAATGGGTGGGCAAGGGTTCTGCGTAGTCTTCAAACTTTTAATAAATTATTGACAAATTCAATAAATGAACAGATCAATGATGACAGCTTGTTATGAACCAAAGGTTATAATGAATTCAATTTTACGGATCTTATGTCACTTAAAAATAAACCAAATTACTGCTTCTTTCACATCAAGCATTCTGTTAACTCTTTCTAGTCATGCCAATGCTGGGAAGTGGGTGTGGTCTCATTTTTCAGATGAGGAAACAGCCTTAGAAAAGTCGAGTTGGCCAAGGAAACGCAGCTAACACACAACAGCCTGAATCTGTCCTTTAGTCTCATGATCCCAAGCCAGTGCTCTGTTGTGCATGGAGAGGAAGGGCCGATAGGGTGGTCCCCAGGCTCTTGGCACCCACATTCCCCTTACCGGGACCGAGCTGGGCAGCAACTCCTCCTGGCTCTCACCCTGCTCCAGGCCCCGGGGGACTGAAGATGGTAGCTGCTCAGCCCGGAGCCCTTGGTTCTCCTCAGTCAGCCGCTTTACCTCGTGGCTCAGGCACTTGTGGGAGGTGGCCAGCTCTGCCTGGGGGTAGACAGTTAGCATGAGGTGAGGAGGGGGACAAGATGTCTCTAGTTCCCTGTGAAGCCAAACCCTGAATCTTCTTCCAGACATTGCTGACAGCCAGAAAACCCACACACTCCTCCTCTTCTGAGAAAAAAAGAAACACCCTTTATTACATGTCTTTGGCTCTCAAGCTTTTTATACACCCTCCTCCGTGACACAGAGGTCACACAGTGGCAGAAATGGCCATGTCAAGGGTTTTATTTGGTCCACATGTTTTTTTAAACATTAAATTAGTTGTGCTAACTTTAAAAATTGGGAGACTATGTACAAATATCCAGATTTTCTGGCTTCTCTTGACAAATCAGAAAAGCTGGCAGCCTCGAGCTTGCATTCCCACGTGGCTACGGTCGGCGGTGTGGAGGAGCAGCAGCCCCCCATGCGTGGTCCCTCCGTTTGCCATGCTTCTCCTTCCTGCCTCACACCTGGCCCAATTCAATCATTTACATCTCCCGTCTAATCTTGGGAAGTATCTGATTTTGCAATCCTTGCTTTTAATCCTCATGACTCTAAGCTAGCTCTCATTACCTCAATTTCAAAGTGGCAAGGCTGAGGCTCCCAGCTCATAGGATCAGATCAAGATCAGAAAGTGGGTGCATGGTGGGCTCTGTCTGAATATCAAGCATCTCAGGGATGGCCCCTGCTCTGGCCACAGTGCCAGGTACCCTGGACACCCTTTTACCTACTTGGCACCAGGTACAGCCAAAGCGGCTGGAGAGCAGCACAGATGCCTCAGCCTTCCATGTGTACCCCCTCAATCAAATCCCATCACATTCCTCTCCCTTCTACCCCAGGCCCCAAGCTCTCACCATCTGCAGCTGAACCCGCTCCTGGGCCTGGCTCACAGTTCCCTGCAGGGTCCGCAACAGCTGCTCTGAGTTCTGGACCTGGGCCAAGAGCACCTGCATCTGTGAATGAAGAAGGGCAAGGGTGATATCAGGGTCCAGGAGGAGGCAGGCAGCCAGAGGCCCTGCTAGGGCTGAAGCAGAGGCTAGACCCACCTGCTTGGCACAGTCCTCATTGCTTCGTCTCAGGCCCTCTTGCAGCTCGTCCCGCTCACGGCTGATGCTCTCCAGGTCCTTCTGTAGCTGCCGGCCCTGCAACAGACCCCGGTCTCAGTCTCAGCCTCCAGGGGAGGACTCTCTCCTCACCATGGCTTTTGCATCTCAGTGGGTGGTGCCATCGCCTGCACAGTCACTCAAGCCAAAAGCCCAGGAACTGACACTGACTCTTCTCTTTCTTCCACTCTCCACATCCAACCCACCAGCAGGCCCTGCCAGTCTGCCTGCAAAGTAGATTCCAAATCTACCCACTTCTCTCCATCTCTGCTGCCATCTCCTGGTCCTAGTCACGTCTTTCTTCTAAACCATGTCAAGCATTTCCCAACTTCTGTTACCCACTCCCCGACTGCGGGCCAGTCCTATACAGGGGCCCGCGTGATCTGTTAAAAGTCTAAAGCATATGTGATGACAGAAAGAAATCAAACTATGGGAGGTGAGCACACAGTGTAAATATATATATGCCTTACTGTTGGAGTACAGCTGAAACTTATTGGATTTAGTTAACCAATGTCACCATAAAAAATAATTTAATTAAAAAAAAAAAAAGTCTAAAGCAGAGCAAGACTGTTGCTGGCTTAACCCCCTAGAGGCTTCTCACTGATGTAGGCTCCATGCCTCTGTGGCTGACCTGTGGACCCTGACTTCCTTTCTGATCTCATCTCTCTTCTCCCTCTTGGTGGTCTTCCCACATGGCCTGTCCATCCTCGGGGCCTTGGAACTTGCAGTTCCTTCTGCCCTCAGTCTTCGAAGAGCACCTCATTTTCACCATCCAAGTTAGTCTCCGGCACTGCCAATCTCTACCCCATGACCCTATTCCTTTGTTCTGGGCGCCTCATCCTATGACATTGACTTCCCCATGTACATGCCCATGTACATGTGTGAGTCTGGCTCCCTCACGAGGAGGAAGCGCCAAGAGAGTGGGAGTTTTTACTGTGGAATCCACAGATCTGGTTCAGGGCCTAGATATAGTAGGTGCTTGGTAAGTATATTTGGTGAAGGGAGAGATTGGATGCACGCACGCAGACAGGCCACTCCACTCACCTCCACTTGCAGCTGCTCCCACTGGGTGTCTGGAACAAGCTGGTAACCAGGAGGGGGCAGGTAGATGCCCTCAGGGACCAGAGTGCCCGTGGACACCAGAGAGGCTGTCTCTTCCTGCTCTGAGCTCAGGCCCTGGCGGCTACGGGGCAAGGACGCACTGCTGCCAGCCCCACCACCAAGGGAGAAGGAGGAGATGGAGGCGCTGTCATCACAGTTGTGGGCAAAAGCCTCGGCCGCCGCACCCCCATCTCCGCTCAGCTCCTCCAGAGGTTCCAGCGGGGGAGACGGGTCCCGGGACAGGGGCAGCAACTCCACGGAGCCGTGCAGGGAATGGGGATGCTGGGGACGTCTCTAGGAAAGGGGGACAGGAGAGGCTGGGGGGCCAGGGGTCCTGCAGCGCCCCTTCTTCCCTCAGTGCCCCCCAGCCGTCCCCTCACCTGGATCTCTTGAATCAACTCCTCTGCCCTCAGCAGTTTTGCCTTCAGCTCCTCTATCTCCTGCTCCATGGGTAGCACAATCTCTCGAAGCTTCTCTGAGTCCTCATGGGCCTGAAGGAGAGTGGGGGGTGCTGGGCAACAGACCCCATACTGACGGCAGGAGCCCTCAAGCTCATTTAGAGCTTTCTGTCCAAGCATATCAGCTCTTTTAACTGTCCCAAGAAGGCACTGTCCACCCCCATTTTAGAGATAAGAACAGAGGTTCTGGGAGCTCCATGACCTGCTCCAGGTCACATGGTAGGTAAAGGAGCCAGAGTCACGACCATCTTCCTGTTGCCCATCTGCTCACCATACTTTTCTTCCTCAATACCCATTTTTTTCTTTTATTATAGAACCTCATATTTTTAGTTGGATACATGGCCTAAATTCTAGAATACCATCCACATTTCTCAGCTTCCCTGTGACAAAGCATTGCTACATGACTAAGTTACAGCTAATGAGATGTAAGCAGATGTGCCATGTGCAACTTCCAGGACAACTCTTTAAAGGAAGAGGTTGTACTTTAATCTTCCTCTTCCTTCTGCCTGGCTAAAATGTGGACATGATGGCTGGCACTCAAGCAGTCATCTTGGACCATGAAGCAGTAAGCTAGCTATGGCAAAAGAGCAACATAGGAGGAGCCTGAGTTCCTAATGACATTTTTTTTTTTTTAAGCGAGGCAACCCTTGGTTGACCTCACAGATTGCAAAGACCTTGTCAGTTTACAATCCCTCATTTTTTTATTTTTTACACTTACAGCACCTGGTCTTCCTAGGTGGTCTCCCATCCAAGTACTAACCAGGCCCGATCCTGCTTAGCTTCCGAGATCAGACGAGATCGGACTGGATTTATTCAGGGTAGTATGGCCGTAGACAACTTTTTTTTTTTTAATAGGAGTTTATTTGAGCCAACATGTGCTGGAAAGCAAGATCCCAAATGCTATGGAGAGTAACGGTTTTTCAGCTTCCCTAATGACTTGTCGAGCTGCCATATTAGTACTGGATATATCCCTGGACTTTAAGAAAAATAAACTCTTATTTTATTTAAGCTACGGTTGACTTGGGTTTTCAAGCCTCATCCTAAGTGATATGTCCTCCCACAGTCCCATCACCACCACACTGCTGGCTATTTCTTTTGGTCTCTTCAGGTTTGATCCTGCTGATTCTTGCACAGGCAACAGTCTCTGGACATCTCCAACTGGATGTCACCCAGGCTCCTCGACCCTAGTACAGCCAAATCTGAACCAACTCACGATGCCATTTCTCCTCCCACAAGTGCTAGGTCAGCAAGAATGGCCCGACTATTCACCAAGCTACCCAAGGCAGAAAACAGCCAGTCACCCATCCTCTTCCAATTCATGCCACTTCTACTTCTTGAATTACTAAAAAGCCATCTTAAACAAGCTCAGTCTAACCCTCCAAATCTCTTATGCGAACTGTTGCAAGAAACAGGATAAGCCTATGTGGCCTAAACAAAACACTCTGATCCCATGTGAAGCCCTGGAATCCATGCTCTGCAGACGCCCAGGCTGTGGAGGGACAATGACTGAATGTAGGAGTTGGGCAGGGACTGGAACTCCTTCATTCTAGGCCTGCTGCTCCTTCCGCTGTCCCAAGTGGCTTTCACTTAGCAGAGCCCTCTCCTTTACCACCCTGGGTAATGGCTCCTGGAGGAATACTCTGAATGCAAGCAGCAGCTTCTGTTGGGAGAGTGTGCGCTGGATGCTTTCCTTTCTTGGGCTCCTGTTTTGATCACTATCTTTCTAACCAGGCGATTTATTTCATCTCCCCAAGCCTCTGTATCCTCATGCATAAGATGAGTTAAGTAGCTACTTCACAGGGCTGCTGTGAGAATCAAATGAAGTAACAATGTGAACTCACTTTGAAAGATGAAGACTTTGGTAATATGCGCTTCCTACTACTGTTAATAACAATAATAAAGGAGGTGATGTACTATAAAGATTAAGAACAAAAACTTTAGAAACATACTGCCTAAGTTCTTAATTCCCAAATCCTTTTTTCATGTGTATAACCCGAGGAGAATTACTGAATTTCTTTGAGTCTCATTTACTCATCTGTTAACTGGACCTAAAGACCTCATTTTCAGGGGAAAAACAGAAGAGCCTGAGTCTGTCAAGCGGTTATCAAGAATGCCTAGTGCATGAGAGGTATCCTTAAGTGTTAGCTCCCTTTCCCCTACGTGACAGTCCTTAATTTGGGGGGAAACTAGTAGTGGCAAGCCAGGACCTTGCTAAGTAGAAAGCCAGCATGTGCTATACCTAGACTGATGACTGGGTGCCCTGCTTCCAGGTGCCTGGGAGTGGCACGCCAACAGTCCCTCTGGCCCACAGCCACCTCTGGCTGCCTCAACATCTTTTCAAATCCTGAGGAAGGGGAAAGGCCATCCCGACTCCAACCTTTTCCATCTGTTTCTCCAACGAGTCCAGGGGGTGAGCCCGGGACAGCAGCTGCTTCAGGCGGCCCAGCTCTCGCTCCTTCTCCTCACAGTCCTGTTGCTGCTGCTGTCGCTCCTGCTTCAGAGAAGTGATCTGGGCTTCATAGCTGCTGATGGAGTCTGGTGGGGCAGGAAGAGCAGAGGGGAGGGAGGGTCAGTGCACTGGCGAGTAGAGGGCTCTCCATCACTGACGTGCCCTGCAAGCAATTTACCATAGCGATTAAGACAGTGGGCTTTGTGGAAAGACTGCCCTGGGTAATCAGTTAGCCATTCTGCATCAGTGTCCTCGGCTGAAAAATTGGGACACTAATGATTACTCCACTGGGTTGTTACAGGATCAAAGGAGATGATATCTGGAAGGTGTTCAGCCTTCTTCCTGGTATATAATAATGCTGAAAATATGATATCTATTCCTATTAATATATACCAATTATAAACAATATATAGTAATAGTAATATTTATTTTTTATTTGCATAGTTATTTATTTTAACGTATACTAACATTAGAAGTAAAGGTTCTGCCGAATCCAAACAGTCCAGCCAATAGCCAGGCAGCACAACTTTATGAGGAAAACAAACGAGAATATGAAAAGGGTTTCCGCCATTGGAACAAAGCA